TGTAGCCAAACCCCTCTGAACAGTTGCTCTTTGTGGACACAGGAAGTATGGTGATAGCCACATGGATTTCCAGCCAGGACTTTAGGAAAAATGGCACAAGACTCCGCCATTCACAAACTCTCTAACTCTCTCTGCTCACTTCACACCTCTGATGGTTCACAAATGGATAAAATGAAAACAGAAGACAGGCATAGTTTGGAAAGGATCTCTTCCCCTTAAGGCTGCAGAGTCGTAAGGAGAAAGGTGTTTATTTGATGGTAGATCATGGAAGGTGATTGATGGAGCTGGTGGTCACATGTCATTTTCAGACATCATAAAAGTTGGATTGATTTATGAATAATCAGTAAATGGTTTGTGTGTCAAAGTCTTCGGATGTGTCATTCAACTCTGAGCGCAGGTTTGAAAACTGAGCAGATGATGTCTGTGTGTGCAGGTAGCCGTCCGACAGTCCAGTATGTGTCCTCGCTGTCTGAGTTGCCTCAGGCCCTACAGCCATACTACACCCAAGGCTACCTCCTGGCTGCACTTCACCCCATCATCCTGTCTGTGGGTCGGACTCGCTCGCTTCCCTTCAGCCTGCTCTACCGCGCCATCCTGGCCCGTCCTAGACCCAGGTACGCCAGTCCTAGTCCAACGTCATCAAATTTATCTTAAAACTGGCCTATTGTTGATTTTTTTTTCTTGTAAGTCATGGTCAAAGAAAGCTTTTGCCATGATGTTGTCTAGTAGGTATATGAAAGATAAATGAAGTCAGCTGCATATTTAATGCAAATTGCTGATAGGAGGTCTGACTTGCGTGCTAGCAGAGAGAGGAGACTGTGTTTTGGTTTGACTACTGTTCAGTTTCTGTTGGCTAAAATTCACCTGACGACAGGGATCTCTCAGCAGCCAGTGAGGATGGAGTATGTCTAATCTCTCAAGCCTACTGGGCTCTGCTGAGGGACCCAAGGGGGCGACAAAACCACCACAAAGAGGTATAAAACCCACTGCCAGGAAGGTCAAAACCACAATACCCACACAACAGTCGCAAAGGGACCCAGAATCACCATACACAGCTGAAACAACCGCAAACAGAACAAAAATGACTTGACTACAAAGAGAAATGAAACCTCCAAGACTAAACACGACTACCATTTGGAAAAAAACTACCAAGAAACTAAACATGAAACCGAGAAACATAAAACAGCCACCAAGGAAGCCAAACTAACCAGGAGAGTCCAAAAATGATTACCAGCAACACAAAACAACCACGAACAGACTAAATACCAGGAGACTAAAATCAACCACAGAGGAACTAAACATGATTATTAGCAACATGGCTGTAAAGTTGCACAAATCAACCAATACTAGGCATGAACATTTTCACACTTTTCTCTCTTGTTTAGACACTCTCAAAGTTCAAACCTTCGTAGAAAAATAAGTCCAGTATTATAGAATGAAACCAAAGATCAAACCCTGTTTTCAAGTCCACAACATGGGAATAGAGCAGCTGCCAGAAAATTCAACATTAATGAATCAATGGTACGGAAGTGGAGGAAGCAAGAAGAATGGTAACTTCTACCTTCCTTTAGCATGTCCAGAAGTCCCAGTTTTTGTGCAATGGTTAGCATCTTCCTCTGCCTTTTAGGTGCTACCGCAGGAGCCTTTGACAGTGCAAAACGCTTCATCGACATTGTTGTGTTTGTTGGAGAGAAAACTTAAAGTGCAGCACTTCAGAGTCACACTGTACCGATCAAAGATTTATGTAAATTTGACAAGCTGAACGCATTCTGTACTGTACAGGAGACACGGCACGAGGTTGATTGACAGTGGTCTACAGCTGATCAGGACACAGAACACAATGTGCTGTAAAACAAAACAAAACAATTCAATTCAATTTTATTTATATAGCGCCAAATCACAACAAATGTCGCCTCAAGGCGCTTCATAGATACAGAGAAAAGCCCAACAATCATATGA